TTCTATGGTCTAAGGGCCATGGTAGTGCCGTGGATCCCGACCCTTGCCGATGAGAGAGTTCTGTCTTTTAGATGATTTTTTGAGTTTTGTTAGGGTTTGTGTCCTGCTAAGAGAGACGAGGCAACGATGGTTCTCTGAAGGTGAAATAAGGTCCTCCCCACCTGACCCCGTCTTAGTGGTGTTTCTAGCATCGTCGGAGGGCGTGTGGAGGTTTGTCTCCGGCGGATCTCGCAGGATTAGGTCAGCGTTTTTCTTGGATGGATCTACGTGGATCCAATCTTCGTTCGTCTGTGTTCATGTGTCTACATGTTGGATCCTTTTAATCTACGCATCTTTTCATCAGTGATGTTGATGTCCTGGTGCGTTGGTCCTATGCCTTAGCACGACAACTTCCCGACTATCTACTAGAACTAGGTTTGCCCCGCTCTGATGAGGGAGGGGTGATGACGGCGGCGCGCCTTCGGCTCGCTCATGTGCTTGTAGTCGTCGCTAGGTGTTCTACACCTGAATGTATTTTTACTTCTGAAGTTCTTTGTACTACCTTGACAGTTGATGAATAGATTAAAAATTTCCTTGCATAATTTTTTACATAAAACCGGATGATTTTCATCTAAACCAAACCAGAGCACATTCATTAAAATTTTCGATGTATTTACTAACCTAGTCTAAATGATCGCCGTCTGTGGCAGCGTCGTTCCTATGACATGTCTTCCCCATATCCTGCAGCAAGCTCACCGGATGACCATGTACCTGGGAAATGAAGCTTTAGCGAGAGGAAAGAATAATGACATTCGCCTCCATGAAGCGGGCAAGCTCACCGGCTGAGGCCCGATAAGATGGTGGCGCTGGCATTCCTGAGACCCAAGCGGCGATGGCCTTCCGAGTTCTACTATACCTCGTTGTTGGCTCTCAATCTGGGGCCCGACCTGTCATATTTCGTATCAAATGGCTCTCAATAGAGCGTTTAGTGTTTTCAGCAAACGATTGCTTAAACTCGACGTTTTTGATTTTTTTTAAGAAAACAGTGGTTTTTAGCATTGCATTGCGGTGCGTTTTTTTTTTTTTTTGCAATTTACTCAAACAGGGTGAAGCGACTCCTAATTGAGAGTTTGGGAGCTTAAATGCTCTGGCTAGTGATTCCTTGGAGCATAGTGCTTGGGAACAGTTCCAATAGATGTTTGGCTCGATTCTGTTACAGCTGATATTGCGCGAGCCCTATCTCTGAACCATCGGTTTCGAGCTCTCCGAGAGTATATGGTGTCTGACTGTCCGGGCCGGTTCCGATACAGAGCGGAGCGGTTTCGATACAGGACGATGCTGCCCGGACATTAATCTTTGCAGCTTGACTTGCATATCTGATGGACACTAATCGTGGCTCTCTGTGTGATTCAGTGCAGTTCACGACAAGCGATATAAAAGCAATCTCATCAGATAGATTTCATTGCATTCTTCGACCTGAGTCAACTTTCGGTGATCGCACATATGTTGCTCAACTTGGTTAGTCCGGAGACAGCTTCATACATCATTGTTAGATCAATGGAATGAGCTTAATACCACTGTTAACTTCTGGGCGTTGTTGAAGGAACCTGATCAAGTGATTTGGAACCTGGGAAGAAGAAATTTTTTACAACCAGATCGGTTTATGACTATCTGGAGAAAAACATAACAGGATGTAACTATAGGTGGATTTGGCAGGCGAAAATCCCTTTAAAAATTCAAATTTTCATGTGGCAAACCTTTCAAGATGCTATCTTGAATAGAGATGTCATGAGTAGAAGACGATGGGCTGGCAACCCTAAATGTTCCTTCTGTTGGAACAGAGAGACTTCGAAACACCTGTTCTTCACGTGTCTTGTGGCCAGGGTGGTCTGGAGGACGGTGGGTTGTGTTCTGGGTACGGACACTTGTTCGAACAATATATGGCAATATTTCTCGTGGTGCTATGTTTTCCTTCCTGATGGGGAAAGTTTTACACATTTGTGCTAGCAGCCATATGCTGGGCTATATGGAATTGCCGCAACCAAGCTACCTTTGAGCAGAAAAAATTAAAGACACCTTTTGCTGTGATTTATCCTGCATGTGGCTTTATCTCTTATTGGGCAGGCATGATGACTGCAGCGGACCGGGAGGCGATGGAGAGAGGAGCCAAAATGCTAAGGGCCAGCACATAAAACATGATGAGGATTTGCACGGCTTCAGACGAGATGGCGCAGGACTGAAGGAGAGAAACTTTGCCTGCGCTGGGTCATGTTAACTTCGTTTTGGTTCTTTGCCTTGGTCTTAGGGGTTGTTTGGATAGCTGGTTTATAGAGAATCAGTTATATATAATCCCGTGTCAGGCTCTAACAAACTTAAAACTGCTAATCTAACAAATTCGTGTATAAGCAAAAATTGATTCTCGTAATACCCAAAGTACGACTTTTTGGGAAAACGGGTCCCAGACGTTTTTATGAAAACGCGTTTTAGAAAAGCCGGCTGGGCTGCATCGTCGACTCGCCATAACACCAACACGCCCGCCCCTTTGTTCCTGCTACTTCCTACTGGTATCCTAGCCACATCGCCGCCGATTAGCTCATCTAAGGTGAGTAGTTAGTATTGCCTCCCGAAGCCGTGGACGAACACCTTGACGGAGCGGCGCACGGTGCAACAACGTGCTTGGAGGCAGGGATATACGGCGACGTCAAGGTCTCCAAGGTGTTGCTCGCGGCCATGGGCGCTTGGCTCTACGACTTTGGCTCCTCGCTCGCCGGGTTCATGGCGGCCTTCCGCCCGCCGTGCTATGTGCTGGCTCTTCCGGCTACGTCAATCGTGCCCGCACTACATCTGCTCCGGCTTGCTCACCAGAGCGGACGTGTACAGCGTCATCATGCTGCCTCTCTGCTTGAGCTGCTCACCGGCATGCAACGGTTTTGCGACCGACGGCTCCTGATTTCCGCTGTTGACCATCGTGCCGATGATTAAGAACAGATCGTGCGACGATGCGCATAGGCTCGTCGACCAGACTGTCTGTGTGGTTAATCGACCGCACCAGCAGCACTGCAGCTTGTGAACAAAAGATTGTATGGACGTGCATCAAAGCATCGTAGAAGATTCAGAGGAAGGACATTTGATTGTGACATAAAAATCCATTGAATACTCGCCCCAGCCAAACTAGTAGCCATATTTGACGTTTTTAAGCCCAAACAAAGTACTCTACAAATCAGTTTTAACAAACCAACAACCTAAAACTGGTTTTCCTAAAAATCCTCATAAAACTGGTTTTACTAAAACTTATCCTAAATACTAGTTATCCAAACAACGCCTTAGTATTTGATCATGCTGCTCACTGCTCCTGCGTGAGCCCTTTTGATGTCGTAAACCTTGCTGGATGCTCTCGTTTAGGACTAGTTCGTGTTTGGGTGTCCTTGGGTTTTCGCCCCACGGTAAATTGCTCGATGACGAGTGCTTACAGTGGGTTTCCCAAGGATGCATTGAACTCGCTTTTCCCTTTTTCGTTTCCTTAGCGGCTGCAGTGTGAAAAACTTTGTATTTCCGCTATGTCAAAGTAATGGAAAGGGGGTATGCCCGGTTCAAAAAAAAAAAAACTTGGTTAGTCCGAGAAAATCCACGGTGGTTACTAAAATATTTTATGAACACTTGCCCCAGTTTTCGTTGTGATCATTACAATTTGAGCGATACTGAAAAATCGAATGTTGTTGAATAAAAGAAGTCACTGTTCACCAATTGGGGTGCATTTTCTCTACTGTGGCGATAACTGCTCCCTTGGCTGTTTGAAAAAGACAGGGTACGCTCTCCCGCTCCCAGGTCTTCTGCAGACCGTAAAACAAATGGAGCTCTAAGAGCAACTCCAACGGACCGACCCAAACGGATGACGTTTTTGTCCGTTTTTTATCCGTTTGGGTCGGCCGCCCCGGCGTCCACCCCCTTTTAAATTTAGGTCGGCAGCGCGCCTTACGCGTCGACCAATTTCATGACCGCGCGCACTTTTAGATAATGCCAACGGCCATGCCAGAGCGCGGGAAAGGTTCGCGCGCGGGGGAAAATCGGCCTAGCGTGCGTTGGCTTTGGCGCTCCAGAGCGCGGGAAATGTTCGCGCGCTTGTTTTAGCGCGCCGCGGCCGGCACTCATTATAAGAAATGCCTTATCCTCAGCACCTTCGACACCGCAGAGCAGGCGGCCCGCGCGTATGACGCGGCGGCGTGGCGCCTCCAGCGACCTAGTCGGGAGATGAATTTTCCCGAGGTGTCGAGATGAATTTTCCCGACGTGTCAAGCCAGCGGGCGCAGGATCTGGCGCCTCTCCCGCGGCTTTTCACCAACGAGGATCGTCGCGTCCACCGGAGGCGGTAGCGTCGCCATCGCCGAGATGGACGTGCAAGCCTTGGTGGTGTGGCGCGAACACTTTCCGCAGGACATCGTCGACGAACGTCAGTTCTATAAGCAGAAGAGGACGGAGGGGAAGGCGAGGAGGACGAAGCGAGCCGCCTATCGGGAGGGCAAGCGTGCACGGAAGCAGGCCGCTCAATTGAGACTGAAGCTGCAAGAAACATCGGGGTGGGACTTCGAGGACGAGCAGACAAACGTCGAAGGAGGACATTACCGAGTCAGAGTCGAAAACCGACGAGTAGTTGATCTTTTCTTTTATTGTGTACGCAAGAACTATCTATGTATCCTTTTTCATCGGAAAAAAATGGCCGACGGCATTGGCGACGAAGCAGGCGATGGAGGGTGTGCATGCGCGGGGAGGAGAGGGCGAGCGCGCGCGCGTCCGCCTTGTGTCCGCGCCGACGCAAATCCGGCTCAAAAATGGGCCGGGACTAGGTCGGAATGGGCGGGGAGGAGAGGGCGAGCGCGCGCGTCCGCCTTGTGTTCGCCCCATTGGAGTTGCTCTAATCATAAATATTCACACGGTCAACAGAAGATGTCAAACAATTGAATTGCAATTGAGATGCCTGTAAGAACTATATAAATCTAGCTTACAAAATTGAGCTTGTGAACTATCTATCCTAGAGTAGAATTGTTTCCTGAAGATGACGACCTCAACAGCTGATGATGATGATTTGGAGTTACCGAACCGAGCATTGCACCAGAGCTGAACATAATGTTCGGCGCCTGTGCAAGTGGCTGAGTTTGGTTAGCTGAAAACGGTAAGCGAGGCCCAAACGAGAGCATCTGTGGCCGCCGCTGCACGAACGGCATTTGTGGATGCCCCTGCCCCTGCATGTTATTAGGGTATGCCGCTTGTACCGTAGCTTCAGCCATGGAACGCGGCACGGCCAACGGTCTAGGGCTTATATTCATTGGATTGGGTGACATAGTGCTACTGCCACTGGTGGGCAGACAAGTTTCCAGGGGATTTGAGCAGGCTCGCATCGCCTGGATACGGCCAGCTGAAATCCTCTGCCTGGCTCTCTCCACTTGCTCGCATTCCTTCAAAAGTAAGGTCTCGACTTCAGCAAACTGCTTCAGCTTTAACTCCAGCCTCTTCAACTGCAAGTTCAGTAATTGCAGATGGTATCAAAACAAATATGTAAGCATCAAAACTTCCAAAGTAGCGTAGGAACTAACTGTGATAGATGGTAAGAAAAATATTGATCATGAGTTTAACTTTCCACCATGATTTCAGGACATTAAAATGCAGGCATGAGGACAACAACACAAGGTGGAGTCTGGAGAAGGGAATTTCTAGAAAGCCTTACCATGCGTAATAATTCTGCAAGGAGGCTGGTTCGAACCCAGGACCTCCAGGCCACAAGTGGAGACTCTGGGTGCACCATGCC